TAAATTTTCATATCAAGTTTATTACTTTTTAAAGATTTTAAGGTAAAATATTATATTATATTTTATATGAATCTTGTATAAAATTTTATATCAAATTAATTACAAATACTATATTAAATGAGACTTAACATGTGCCTTTAAGGTATAAATTAAAAAATCCCTATGTTTAAATATGTAAAAATGAAAAAAAAATCTTGAAAATATTTTTTTCCCAAGTTAGGTCATTTTTTTAAAGTCAATGCCATGTCATTGTCCAATCATCATCTTTTGTTAACGGGCCACAAAAATAAAACGGAAAGATGACATTATGTAACGTCATCCTTAATAGAAGGGGTGATTTGCAGATTTCATGTAGTAGAGGGGCTGATTTGCCAGTGTTTCTAGTACAGGGGCTGATCTGCCACCACGCCATGAAGTCGACACTGAGCGCAGTAATACTTGAAAGAACTAGTGAGTCATGGTGTGATTTTTATACATTCACAGCCTGACATCCGCCATGTTGCCAGCTGGACGACTCGGAAGTGACTCCCCTCCAAAGTCCGTAACATTGCAGACACAGGGGCTGAATTGCACCCTCTGCCTGTCAAAATTGCTTGCCCTAGCAATCGCGGCCGTCAGATCTCCGACTCCGTTTCTTTCCGTGGCGTCTTCTAACTTTACTAGGGATTCTTCTCCCGTTGATCAGATGAGCCATTTCATCGAGCAGATGCTGTTGAGGGATCAACCGTTGGAGCTCGAGCAGCCCCGGGAGGAGCGCCTCGAGCGGTGGCGCCGCGAGCAGTTGCGCTTCAAGCTGTCGGGCCTCGAGCTGTTGCGCCCCGTGCCGTGGCGCCGCGAGCAGATACTGTTAAAGTACGACGAGCCGTTCACCAAGCAGATGCTGTTGAATTTTCGTGATCGCTCTCTATCTGAGCTGAAGCAGGCCTGGGGCTCCCTATCCGAGGATGTGATTCCACAGGTCACTCATTTCTCTTTACTGATCGTTTTGTTTGAAGTTTATATAATTCTTGTTTTCTTTATACCAATATTGAATAATTTAAGAACATTATTTAGAAATATTCGTGTTCTTATGCATTTTCATGCGGAATACTAATTTTTAGCAAAACTAATAATTGCTGATAAAATCATATATTATTTGGATTGAGAACTGCAACTGTTGAAGTGCTTGTTGGATTATGATGGTCAGCAGAACTTTAAACTCAATCATCCTCCCATCTGGCCACGTTTGAGCTTCACGGGATATCCGATTGGTAATGTTGTAAGGAAATCTGTTATGGAAACTATAGTGGATGATGTGTCTGAGCAGAAGTCGGCATTCGACTCCCTATCTAATGATGAGAATTTCCAGGTCACTCATTTCACCTTGAAGTTTATGATTCTTGTTTTGTTTGTACTAAAAATTGAATAATTTTACAGACAATTTTGTGAATTTTAGTAATAATCATATACATGTGCATTTTCATGGGAAATACTAATTTTTGATTAAATTATTGATTGCAGAAACAAGTGGCTGAGGTTTTGAAATACTATTGTGGTAGGGAAATTCCACATAAAAGTTCCATCGGTAATTGGCCATGCAGGGGTCTCAGGAAGGAGTTTCCTATCCTTACAGGATCTCAGAATATCGTCAATGCTGTTGTCCAAATCTTGCTGGCCAAGGGTTTGGGCAAAAAACGAATTGTAGTTGCAACTAGGGATGGCCAACATGGCCTTGCAATTGTTGATATATGTGCAAGGGTTGGGTTGTAGTGTATTATTTGCATGGACGCACAAGATATAGATGAGCAGAGAAATTATGTATTAACAATGTAGCATTTGCATGCTGAGGTAAAGATATTATACTTGCATCCTTTATTTATTGTATGGTGTTTATCTTGTATCTGATACATGTGGAGATGTAAACTCACTTTTTTTGAGTCATTATTTTGTTCTTAATATGAAAAGAACAACTGGTTTCAAGAGCTAAAGGGCTTACTTTAATAATATTTGTTAATATACCTCACGTGAAAGAAATTGCAGTCTGTTAAGATTTGTTTGATTATATTTTTATCCTAAATTGCATCTTTTTCACTTTTTAACTTAGGTTAGCGCAGTTGATCCAGGTATGGATTCTAAATCAGCAGCTATATGGGATTGGGTTACTAACATTGAGATAACCCATTATATCCTGGGATCTAATGCCATGGCAACTGGAGCTATGAGCTACTCAGTACCAGATGATGATGATGAGCCGGAGCTTTATTCCACTCATGCAGGGTAATGCTTTTTTTACCTGTTGTTTTGTTTGTTTCTATTTTGGTTTTTGAAGCTTTGTTTCATTCTATTCCAACAACAACCTTTAAGAGCCTATTTGATCTGAGGAAAATGGAAAAGAGGGGAGGAGATTGAAAAATTAAGATGTTGGTCACTTTGTTTTTCTATTTTTTTAAGTAGGCAATTTTAGGGCTATCACACTGTAGCAACGGCTTTAGTGCCTGTTTGGTGTGACTGGCGCTTTTAGTGGAACAACTGTTAAAAAGAAACTGTTGTAGAAGTGCTGTTTTTGTAAATAAAAAGAAAAATGAGGATAAAATAGGAATAATGTGTTAATTTCATTAAAACCCAAATGAGAAGCTCCTGCAGAAGCACCAATTCGGTGCTTCTGAGATTTGCAATGAAATGGAGAAAAGACTAGCTTGTGAGAAGTTGTAGCATTTTTCGCAAGTTGTAATGTTTGGTGCAGCTTGTGCTTTCGCAAGTTTTAGTAGGTTGGACCAGCATTAGATGGGTGAGTACTGCCAATTGGCCAGATATTTGCTTTGGCATTTCAGGGGGGTTACTTAGTAGCTTAGGCTGCTCACATAGGTAAAAGGAATGGTTTAGCTTGTTTAAGTGCTTTGGTGGCTTCCCAAAGTTCTAACTAGTATTTTTATTAGGAATTTAACATAATTGACTAATGCTAGGATGAGATTTGGTACTTTTAAAATGGTTTGGGATGATATCTAGTATTTATGGTTAAGGTTGGGGATTAAGATTGATATTTTAGCCAATTGTTTATGATCACTTGGCTTTGCTAATGGATCACGTTTCTTAGTGATTGATGTATGAATCTTGGCCATGTTTTTAGTGATTATATGTATGGTAGAGTCCACATTTTTTACTAGATTGATCATAGAAGAAGTGCAGTTTGGATACTGTTTGTGTATTAAAATTATCAAAATATTATTAATAAATCAACATGGAATAAAGTTTTATTAAAGATATTTTAATAATTTAGTATAAAAAATACACTTTGTGTAGTTCACATTGAAAATGAAAAAAAATACATATAATATATGGTACCATGCCAACTACACTTTTTAAAACTATGGATGGGGAATTTTTGATATTCAAGGACCCATCCATCATCAGTGGCTATAAGATCTGTACTCGTCACACACGCACGCACGCGTGCACGCACGCATGAAAATATGAGCAGACAACATCAAGAGTATCAAACACGCACACACGTAAGAATATGAGCAAACAACATCAAGAGTATCATAAACGCACACACCTAAGAATATGAGCAAACAACATCAAGAGTATCACACACGCACGCACGCACATGAGAATATGAGCAAACAACATCAAGAGTATCACAACCAGCTATATTATCAATCCATTGGGGCTAAGTTGGTCCCACACACGCATGCACGCACATGAGAATATGAGCAGACAACATCAAAAGTATCACAATCAGCTATATCATCAATCCATTGGGGTTAAATTGGTTCCCCAAAAACACACACGCATGCACGCACGCACGCACACACATGAGAATATGAGCAGACAACATCAAGAGTATCACAACCAGCTATATCATCAATCCATTGGGGCTGAGTTGGTCCGCCCCACACACACACACGTACGCACACATGCACATGTGAATATGAGCAGACAACATCAAGAGTATCACAACCAGCTATATCATCAATCCGTTGGGGCTAAGTTGTCCCACACATACACACATGCATGCACGCATGCATGCACATGAGAATATGAGCAAACAACATCAAGAGTATCACAACCAATTATATCATCAATTTGTTGGGGCTAAGTTGGTCCCCCCCCCCCCC